CAGTCGCTGAAGCACTGATAGTATGCATACGCGCAAAACGGGCTATTCTAGAAAAAAAGAGAGCATAAAACTCAAACGAGTTGACAGGGATTAGCGCATCAGCAGTGTAGGAGTTGTAATTTGAGGCGCATGGCGTCTTACGCGGGCTAGCGAGGCTTCTAGCGCACCTACTGCTCATTTCTAGCCTCAAATGGTCAAAAGTCAAAAGTCATCTGTCATCGTTCTGTACGTGAAGCTCCACCCTAGCCGTCGAAGTTGTCGCACCTGATCTAATCGCGGAGCGCATCTCTAACTTGTATTTCTGTCTCCCTCGTACGGAGAGTCGTACACGGTTGACTCGGTGCCTTCGGACCCCTTTTCAGCACCCTTGCACCTTTGTTGAGGTACATCTTCCGTTCTCTCACTTCTCATCCTTTTCTTGAATATTGGCTTTTCCCACGGAGTGTATTCAGGCAAAACTGGGAAATTGAAGTGCTCAAGGAGCCCTTAAATTCACATTTTCCCGCTTCGAATCCGTGGTCAACTTTATTTGTGGTCTCGGCTCCCGCGAAGCTCGAAGCGTTCACGCTCACAAAGTCTCTGTTCAGAGAGAATATGAGTTGCACTCACAATCCGCGTAGTACCCATCGCCGAACTTTGTCGGATTCTCTCTGGAAAAATTTTCGTACCGAGCGAGCGAAAATGATGACATGGGCCAGTTGTAACTTGAACGGGACACCGAAGTGGTGGCATGGGCCATCATTGCATCGCCTTTATAAGAAAACTTCGATCGAGTTCAGCGATGGGTACCAGGCGGGTGGTAAGTACGAGTCATGTTCTCTCTGAGCAGTCTCCGTGAACGCGTTGAGCCGCGCAGCAGCTGACAAGGGAGGTCTTTCAGGGCAAGCCGCGCTTTTTCAAAACGGTTTTTTGCATGCTGTAGGGGCTCTCACGTGGACTACAACTGTGTTTCATTTTCGCTGAACGGCCCCCTGAAGGCCAAAAAAGGTCGAAAAAATTGTTAAGAATGGGGTTTTTACAGCTTTGGAGTGACGTTTCGGACTTGTACAGAAGATCACCTGCATATTGAAGGGTGCTGATGAAGATGGTATCGAAAACAAGTGAAATTCGCTCAAAATTGAAGTGTTGTCAGTGGTAGTGCTGAAAAAGTGAGGAGGTTTCATAGCGTCGCCTGGCATCGCATCAGACGGAGTGGTGGTCAAATGAATAGCGTGGTGAACTCGAGTTGGCTCGGCGGCAGGGACTTTGTGGTTCGACTCCGCTCCACGGCCGACTTTTGCATTTTGATTGTCACCTCCAAATCAGCGCCAAATTGCTTCAGCGTCAAAATTAACGCTATATTCACAATCAGGACCATCAGTAGCCCCTGCAAATGGGTTTACTATCAAAAACTGGCAGAATAAATCTGCAGCGCCAAACTGGCGCCAAATGGCGCCGACGCCAAGAAGGAGCGCTGTATTCGTGATCTGCACAGACTGATGTAGTGTATGATACGGTCCAATAATAAAGTAATTCATAGTAAAAGATTTATCCAAAAGCGTCTGTAATACGGTTCATAGCACAGGAATATAGTGTGTCATATGCTAGTGGAAGGTGCGGGTCGAGGTCTGGCGGAAGTTCGGGAAGCAGCACTAGGATCGGATGACGGGGTTCCCTGCAAGGTCCGGCGGCGATCCAATAAGCTCGAGCGTTCCTCGCTTTGTCTTTTTTACGGCTCCGCTCCTTCTGTAATCAGAAGATATCATCGGGGAACAACCGAGCCTAAAAGCTTCACTACATGCTATTTATTTTTTCATACTACTAAATTCATACACCTCCTCCTTTCACCAAGACGTTCGTCCTCGGACGTGGAGGTGCCAGGAAAAACTGATGGATGGTAGAAAAGGCGATGGACGTACCTTGTATGAGTTAAATTTTAAACAAAAAATGCAGAAGACTGCGAAATGCTGGTATTTAGTACATGAAGTGATCGGGAGAGTACGAAGACGCCTGAGCAAACAACCTGAAAAAAACATATTGTTAAGGGCGCTATCCTGTTGGCAAGGTAAGGGTGAAGGTGTGGTAGTGAGAATTTTCCTTACCATGCGTCGGAAGGAGCATATTCGAAAGAATAGCTCCGGAAGCGAAGAAGGGCTGATGATGACGTTCTTTGCGGCGGCCCGTCGCAGTATGCGTGCCCAATTGGAAAGTGAGCGGAGTGCGGTGACGTGTCCTAAAATGAATAGGCCGTGACGACAGCGGGTGAGCGCGACGTTCATCCGTTTGAGGTCGTCTAAGGAATTCACCGGAGGATTGTTCCAATCGAGTTCGAGTCGAGTGGAGAAACAAGTGTCCATCTCATAACCCTGTACGGAGTCCACGGTGTGCAGACGAACTCCGATGCAAGCGGCTGGCTGTTCCAGGAGTCGTTGTTGGTCCTTGTAAAAGGTTATGACGGCGATGGAGGAGGGCGGGATGTTCTTGTCCATGCCTTCATTGGTAGTTCCGCAGGTTCTTAGGGTGTAAACGCCATGGAGCGCCCTCTCAGAACGGCTCTTCACCTGTTATATAGCCACGCACAGGGAGCACGATACTTTGAACGAATTTCTTTGAGCGTTCCGATATCCTAAGAAAAAACATGTCGAAACCAGGGTTTGTGGTTCAGCCTTCACTGGAAACAGATTTTTTACCTTTCTCTGATCCCTACATTTTTGGGCCATATACATATGTCCAACTTGTTCAGTGAACTGTAGGGTTTATTAAAAGCGGAGTTAAAAATAAAAGTTTCTTTTCTCAAAGAAAACTTTCTGCTCTTTTCTGGCCCTCACAGCGCCGCTCAGAAAAAATGAGACATTGTTACAGTTGACTGTGGTCGATCGACGTGTGTTGGGTTCAGTCGTAACAAAGGTGTGTTTCTCCATTGTGATTGGTACGCAAGTTAAATTCACCACGCGGATAAACAATCACAATAACAGCCCACGATTTTATTGGCTTGTCTGATAGTATAGGAGTACCATCGAAATACAACAAGCATTCAACTAACTACACCGAAGCTGCCCTAACAATAGGAGAATCTCAATCTTCTTTCTAGCAAGAGGAAAAACGGTGATAGAAAAGTTAATTGTAAAGCTCTAGATACAAGAAGGCTCCAGATGCAAAAAGCTAAGCCTATGTTTTTATGGCCGTTACATAGGCGAGGCTTCGTGCCACTCTTAATCTGATCATTTCATTTTTCCTCTCGCAGTCGCATTACAACATTTTTTCGCAAAGCATACTTCGACCCTCGCAAACATAAACCCATTTCGCATAGCGCTGTTCGCTGCAGCAAAATCGAAAGATACCACGCAAACATGAGAAATTCATAAAGTTCAAAACGCTCTCCGCGATACAAGTTTAGTTGATTTTTTTACTGACAACGTTCGTATTACTTGACAACGTGACAGGTGTTAACAGTCAAGTGGATGTTCTGAGGCCTTATCGTAGGTGATGTTGTCCTCACTCT